TACGCTCTCTCTCCCCGCCCAGTGGGTAATCGTTTTGAAGGGGACAGGGCTTTTCCATTCACACGGCCCCGGGGTCCATTCTCACGAACGCCTCCTGCCACCAATAGGGGTTTGTACCCCGCCCAAACCTGCCCACGCAGAAAAGCTGTCAGGTGACGATTGCGCTCGATGACTTGCGGCTCATAAAGGCTGTGAGTGCACCTGGCTTCCATGCAGTCCCTCCCTGCCCTTGGCTAGGTAACGTGCTGGGCCATCACCCTGTGGAGCGGGGAGAGGTGGAGCTTGCTGCGTGTCCCACCTGAGACTAGCAGGAGGAGGGGAGGCGAGGCGCAATATGTGGCTGTGTAGAGCAGTGCGCTGCTCCCTCCCTTCCCCAACCGCGAGGACACTGACACCCGTTTCTCCGTGTGTGTGTTTCCCCTGCGGCGTGCCTGCTTTTCTACCATGTGTAATTTGCCTCTGGTGGGCGAAGGGCTCATCTCCCTTTCCTTTTCCTTTGTATTCTTCCTAGCCAGATGTCTAGCTCCTAGAGTTGCCAGGTGTCCAGTTTTGAACCAGACAGTCCAGTATTTGAGCTTCCTGTTCAGGAAACAAATTGAGAAAATAGAAATGCCCGGTATTTTCTCAATAAGAAGTAATGTAGATTGTGATGTAATGTCAAGTGTGTCCGGTGTTTTTGTTGAGACCATCCGGCAACCCTACAGTGGCGCCTTCCCTTTCTTCTTCCGCTCTAGGGATTCCCTAACAGCTTTAAATGTCCTGTCCCGGTGTCCCTATGAAGCAGGGAAATGTCCCGGGCAGCCCATTCGGATCGGACTATTACTGGCACCGCCATTTCCCTCCCTTGCTCAGACACGCAGCGCCAGGCTGGGCAGCAACACCCCGCCTCCACCCCCCTCGCTGGTACACCCTCACATACTCTCAGCGGTAGCGTGGCGCAGCAGCAACTCCCTACCTCCACCCAGCACAGAAGCAGTTCCTTGGTGCTTTGCATGGGCAGTCAGAGCCACTTGCAGTGGTGTGCTGTATCCAGAGCACCGAGCTCCAGTGCAGTGTGCGTTGCCACTCGGCAAGCCCCCACCAACACGTGGCCCCTTTCCTCCCTTTGTGGGACTGCCTCTGCCATGGATGGCCGCCAGCCCAGCCACACCACCTCCTCCATCTGCAGGCAGTCACTTGGTTCTTTGTACAGCGGCCGTCACTGCTGTTGGAGTGGTACAGGCACTGGCTGGAGCTGATGAGCCGCTCCTGGGAACTGCCACCGGAGTCCCAGCAGGGACCATGCAAAGCCTGGCTGGAGCACTGCAGAGGGGGGTATGTTCAGGGTCTGCCAGTGTGCTCTGTGCATGGCAGTGCACAGACCCGCTCGCTCTGCTGGGCTCTGCAAGCTGGGTCTGGTGTGGTGGGAGCTTTCTCCAACCCCACCTCCCACCACACTCCTAATGGGAAGCCAAAGCTGGTGCTCCAGCCTTGTGGCTGCGTGGGCTGCCTGCAGCATGAGGGAGAGGAGGGCGGAGCTCCCTTCCCCTTCCCTTCCCCTTCCCTTCCCCACCCTGCTGGGTAAATGGCAGCACGCTGTGCAGAAGCTTTCCCCAATGACAGGTGGCATGAAGCCAGGTAAGCGTCCCCCCCCCTCTTGCCCAGACTCCCACACCTCACTCGTGCTCACTCACTGCCCTCCCACCCCCTCCAAGACTCCCTACCCCCAGCTGATGCTGACACCCTCTGTTGTTCCTGCATCCTCCCGCCTGGCCAAACACCTATCCCCACCCTGCCCCTTTGTCCACAATTGATCCTGCACCCTTCTTCCTAGCCACACACTGCACCCTCCCTTGCTCCTGCCCCCTTTGCCTGGCCAGACACCCTACCCAGACCTCACAACCTCTCCCACTCCTGTACCACACCATCCTCCCAGATCCTGCACCCCATCTCTGTCACACTTGGCAGCCCTGTCCTACATGCTGAACCCTAATTTTTGTCCCTACCCCAGAGTGTAAAGGGGCCTATAAAAGCCACTAAGTCTGGAACCCCAGAAAAGTGGATCTGGCCTATGGGAAGCCCAGAACCTCAGTCCTCCATGTCCCTTCCACTCATCCATGGGGCTGGAGCACCAGAGGGGTGAGTTGTTGAGCGAGGGGGCCACTTCAGTGCACGTTGGAGGATTTTGGAGGTGTTTTTTTGCTTTTCGCTTTTGTGACCCCCCAGCTGATTTTTCTATGTGTCAGTGGCACCTGACTCAAAAAAGATTGCCTACCCCTACCATAAGTAAGAAGATATTGAACATAAATTAATATTTTACTTTATTTAAAACGAAGTTTGATAAACAAACATGAGAAAGTTAAACCGCCTAATCTGTTTAATAATTTAAATTAAACCGTTCTCCCTAGCTGCAGCGCTAGCAAAATGACTCAAGCATAATTGTGTAATTAGCGGTGAGTTTCCATTACCAATTGATGGTTTGCAGAAAGGTTTACACTGAGTCAAGGGCCCAAAAGTTTGAGAACCACTGAAATAGAGGTAACTCCTGTCTCCCCTTTGCCCCTCACCCTCAAGAGACTGCTGCAGACTCCTTGCTGCTCCACAAGAACCCACAGAGAGATCAGGTCTGTTAGCACAGTGAAATCACCATCACTCCTGTGTGGGTGATGGACAGACACTTTGTGAGTCTTACTCATCCAAGCAGTTGATGATTTAAACAACCTCTTAAGATGTCTTGTGAAAACACTTGGACTATGTCTACTCTTGTGGCTTCTTGTGCGAGAAATAAGCAAATGAGGCTAAGTGAATATCTCAGAGCCTCATTTGTATATGTAATGAGCTGCCATTTTTGCAGAAGAGGCTCTTGCGCCAGAAGGAGCTGTCTACACTGCCCCTTCTGGCGCAAGAAAAACCCTCTTGCGCAATGCCGTTATTCCTGAAAATAATCAGCATAGCGGCATTGGGCAATGTAGACAACTCCTTCTGGCACAAGAGCCTCTTCTGCAAAAATGGCAGCTCATTAGGTATGCAAATGAGGCTCGGGGATATTCCATGCTTAGCTTCATTTGCATATTTCTTGCGCAAGAAGCTGTGAGTGTAGACATAGCCTTGGTGCATCCACAGAGAGGCAGGATGTATCCTGTCTCTACAGAGCGTGTTGTTATGATTTGTGTGTCTGAGTAAACAAGCCCTTTCTGAGCTCTGAAGAGGTGAGATGTTTTGACTTCCAGTTTCAGGGGATTTATTCTCTTTGGGCTGCACGTTATCTAGACCTGAAATGAGTTAATTGTGACAACACATTTCTGAGTTATTCTGATACCCAAAGTGAAACCTGTGCTAAAGACCCCACATCCAATGAAAGAAAGCACTGCTGTCAAAAGAAGTAAATTCAAAGTCTCTCCAATCTCCTTCAAAGGTCACCTGTACCAAGCAGTGGGGCTTTTACTGATTGGTCCCTTATATTTTTGAAGGGTGATTAAATGTTATCTGGATCTTTTGAGGGCATATCAACAGATTGTTTTGGGCTCAATCCTAGCTTAAAATTTAAATTGTAACACGCTCTTTGTAAGCAGGTTGGGAAATGGTCTCATTTGGCTAATATTAGGTATTATTTACATAATACAGGCATTGCCATCATAGTATTGACATGTACATTTCACAGTAGCTTTACATATAAAATAGTCCAGCGCCATTGACCTCCATGGGAAATGTACCTTTCAAGCCCTGATAGTGAGTGTTAGTTCTCCACCTTGTAATTGTCATGGTTAGTTCAGAATTGTCATTCTGGCTTGTGGAAATGCAGACACTTGATAGTTTTGCAGTAACGTCAAAAAATGAAGTTGCAGTACATCACATTAGGGATGTAAATTCCCATTAATCAGTTAACCGGTTAATATTGGGTCACACTGGGGCTGCCGCTGGCTCCCAGCTCCCTCCGGAGCAGTCCCTGTCTACAGCAAGCTGGACTCCCCATGGAGAGAGGCTGCTCTGGACACTGGTGCAGTCCCTGCCAGCAGGGACCTCAGGTTCCCCACAGACAGGGTCTGATCCAGACAAGAGCAACCTCTGTCTGCAGCAGGCCCTCTGGGGGGGATGGACCAGCCCCCTGCGAGCAGCAGATGGGAAGCTGTTCCAGCCCCCTCTGATTTCCTGTTAACAGATGAGGCTTACCAGTTCCAATTAAGAGAACTAAGGAAGTTGTCCCATGAAGTTGTGGGATAGTTCTGGATGATTCCCAGGCTCTGAGTCAAATGGGGTTGCATCTACACTGCAAAATAATAGGTCTCGGATCCTGGATCTCATCTTGAATTGAGGTTGGACCCCTAGTGCTGCAGTGTCCTGAGACTCTAGGTCTGGGGTCAGGGTTAATGCAATGGCAGTATAGTTGCATGGGGGCTCCTATAGTTCCCAAATCTGTCCTTATTGGTAGAGGATGATGGAAGGAGTGTTTAGAGGGGTCACATGACACCCTTTACTTCTGGTCACGTGTACATCTTGGTCCTGGAAGTAATACTCCCAGGGGAGGGACATTATTTTTAGTTTTCATTGCAGCTGCCAATACGGGTTCAACTTCTATAGTCTGAACTTCCGTGGGCCAGCAGTATCTTTGGTCTGACATTCCTGTGGGTGATCCTGGCCTGGAACACTCATGGGGAAGTGCTGGGCCCTGCGCTCAGGAACTCTGCAGCGCCCACTCAGAGCTTTGGGAGCACCACAAAATAGTTAATTTGCAGTACTCAAGCTTGGGAGTGGAAGGAGGAACAAAGAAGGGGGGAAGAGGCAGGGTGGCTGCGGAGTCCTAGGACTGGTGGACAGGAGTGCAGCCCAGGAGGTATAGTCCCCTCTCGGTCAATGCTGGCCCCTCTGCTGCTGCTGGAGTGAAGTCCCACAGCTGGTAGCAGCAAAGGGGCCAGCATTGACCTCCCATGCTCTGGCAAATTCCCTGGTTTGGGGCCAGTCAAGCCCTGAGGGTGTCAGACCAAGGTGATACAACCTATACTAACATTTCACTTTCTGTGCAGATGTCTCTTAACGTGGATGCTGAAGCTGACTTCTGTTTGGAAGAAAGTAGATTCAAACAGTATTGTGCAGAGTTCATTAAACATTCACAGCAAATAGGAGATGATTGGGAATGGAAACATATAAAGGTATGGACAGTAATTTGATATTTAATAAAACTTAATGTTGCAAGGTTTCCCCTGGTATTCTACAGGCTGGTAAACCAATGAAACCCCAAATCTGGTGTCCCATTATCTGAGGCATTGTGAAAACACATAATGAGAGACTGTTCTTAGCAACAATAGTTTATTATCTAAATTAGGGATGGGGAACCTTTTTTGGGTTGGGGGGCCACCTGCCCACAGAAAGATCATGCAGTGGCCAAATGCAAGTGAGAAGCAAAACGGCCTGCCCCACCTCACTGAAGTGACCCGCAAATGAGAAGCTGCAAAAAAAATCATCTCACCAAGAGCTTTGGGTGACCAGGGCTAGTAGATTTTGTGGGGGCCCCCTTGTTTCTGGGGTGAGGCCAAAATTAGAGGTATATGGGAGGAGGCTGATGGGAAACAAGCTTTGGTGAGGATGTGTGGTCTGGACAGGAAGTGGGGTGCAGAAATGAGCTTGGAGTACAGGATATAGGTAGGGTGCTAGAGCAGAATTGGGGTGTGGAGTCTGGGTGGGAGGGAGGATGCAGGAGTGGGCTAGGTGTGCGAGGAAGGGATGATGTAGGACAGGCTAGGGATGGGGGTATGGGGTCTGAAAAGGGAAGGTGCAGGAGCAGGGTAGGGATGGGGATGTGGGGTTCTAGTGGAGCGCACTGAGGGTGTGGGATATGTGTGGAAAGGGGGGTGTAGGAGTAGAGTGGCGGTAGAGGTGCAGAGTCTAGAAGGGCGGAGGGTGCGGGAGCAGGCTGCTGGTGTGGAGTCTAGAAAGGGGGTGCAGGAGCATGGTGTGGGTTCCAGGTGGGAGTGAGTAGAGATGGGGGCACAGGCATGTACCTGGTGTAGCTTCGGGGTGAGAGAGTGTGCATGTGGCTCTGTGCAGTCTGTGCATTGCAGACATGCTCCCCCTGTCTCTTGTTATTCCCATTAGCTGTGAATCGACACTCCAGCAATAGTGCCCTGCCTCTCCCTCCTTCCACGCAGCAGGCTTGTGACCCTGCGGGGAGAAGGAGAAAGACTGAGGATCTGTCCTGCAGGCCATAGGTTCTCCCCTCTGATCTAAATAAATAAGACAAACTAAAAGTGGGAGGATAAACAGGAACATCTCTCTTTGTCACTGCATAGACATGCCCATATTCTGGTCTCGGGTGTGAGCACTGCTGGATAAAGAACCTAAACCTCGGATAGTTAAGGGTGAGTGGATGTCTCCAGGATAACAAGATACATCTCGTGGGCAGTGTTTCCTCTCATTTTTTCCATCCAGGTGCAAATTAAAAGTTATGTGCACCAAGGGATGTGCACCACCAATAAAAACATGTCCTACCGGCTGAGGGCGCTTTGCTAATCAGCTGGGCAGCACCTGAATCTCTACTGAGTATCTGCACAAGCACTCAGATTACATGGAACACTGCTTGTGGGATACAGCATGCATAGCAATTTCTAATCCACCCTCTTCCCAACTTCTCTGTCCTGGGGCAGCCGTTTTGACCTTTTAGTGGTGTTTGCAAAAGATGATCTGAATTAGAGAAGGCATTCTTTTACTTTCTGAGGCCTCTCCCACCATTCCCCCTAATGCTATAAAAACTCGATGGCCCACCTCTGCCTATAAAAGCCAGCTATTAGGGGATACAGTAATTCCTCGTTTAATATGTGCCCGCTTAACACGTTTTCGCAATAGCATGATTTTTTTGTTTTTAGGGAACATTTTTCGAACAACATGACCCGTCCTCACAATAACACAATTTCCCCTACCAGCTGGCCGGTCGCCGGCAGCTACGCGGGGCTTCCCCTGCCTCCCTGCAAAGCGGCGGAGGTTCACCGCTCGCCACACCATTCCTTGGCGACTCCCTCTAGCTGGATGCTTCTCTCCCTCTCCTCCGACCCCCTCTTGCAGCTGGCGGCTGGGTTTTCCCAGCTGGCTGGTCGCCGGCAGCTGTGCAGGGCTTCCCCCCTGCTTCCAGAGGTTCGCTGCTTGCCGTGCCGTTCCCTGGTGATCTCCTCTGGCTTGTTAACTTGTGTCCGGCGAGGAGGGGTCGCTGGGGAACGGTGCAGCGAGTGCGAATGTCCGTCACTTTTCAAGGAGGAAGGGGAAGTCTCACGCAGCTGCCGGCGACCGGCCAGCTGGGGAAACCCAGCTACCAGCTGCAAGCCCCCTCCCCTGTCTCTCCCTAGAGCCAAACACCTCCCCTCCCTGCTATAACCCAGTCCCCTTTCTCCTCCAACTTTATGTCCTGGTCCCAGCTGCTAACAAGTGCAGGCTGGAGCTGCGAGCACACATGGGCTTGAAACGCAACCCCCACCTTTTCCATTATTTTCAATGGGAAAATTGATCCAGCATAACATGTTTTCACTTCGCATGATCATTTTCTGAAACGTATCTACCGTGTTAAATGAGGAATTACTGTAGTAAGCAGGTCAGATGCCTGGCACCTCCTGCCATATGGGAACCCGCAAAACAAAGTTGCTCAGACTTTGGCTTTCTGCCCATGGCCCCAGTGAGTCCAATGCCAGCCCTGCTTGGATGAGTCTCTGAAGCCTGCTTGTGGCACCCTAGTGTGCTCTAAACTCATGGTTAAAAACTTTTGAGTTAGAGCATATCCCAGGCTCCTTGAGCACACACATCAGAGAGCTTGGTCATTTACACGGAATTAGAAGATGCAAAGGTGGCTGTAGCTGAGAAAGAAGGACAGTAATTCTGTTTGATGGCTTAGTCCCTCCCCATTCTTAAAGTTGGGAAAAATCGTGTGCAACATTTAAGTAATCTTTTTGTAATACTTTAAAATATATTGAAGGGTTATAGATGTGTGACAATATTTACCCCAGAATTTGTAATAGAGGATTTAAGACACTCTCCATAAAAAAGGCAGAACTCTGGTAAAAAACAAAGAACATGTTTTGAGTCACAAATTGTGATTTCTCTTTAAATCATTTTTTTTTTTAAAAAAGAGTGAAAATATTAGTAAGAGAGTTACAATGCACCCTTTCATATAGGCAACCATTTGAAACCTTAGATTTCAGTCCAAGGCTATGTGTCTGAGGAGTTTATTCAGAACAGAAAGATGCTCTGAGCCTCTATCAGGAATTCAATACTTGGGTCAAAGTTTGAACTTTCTGTGAAATAGAAGCTTGGCTGAAAACAGTGAAATGAGACAGATTTTTTTGTTCTCGCGAATACAAAATGGTGAGATTTTTTTTTTTAATGGGCCAAGTTGGCGACTCTGTGATTCCAGATTGTGATAAAAACCTGGCCATGGAGAACATCCATTTATTCAGTGATAATCAGGGGAGGAAATTTCTCTTGAAAGAGATGAGTGTCTCAAAGCAGAATGGGTAATAGACAGGCTTTTTAAAAAAATGTATGTCTCATGAACTGCTTGGTGTACTATTAATGTTACTGATGTCATTTACTTGGAGCCCATTCCTGTATTCCATATTTACATGAATAGTCCTTTGATGTCAGTGAGACTGCTCGTGTAAGTCAGGATTGTAGAACTGTTAATGAATTCAGTAGAAATTAAATTTAAATGATAAAACATCCAACTTTATGTGAATTAGGTTATAATGTCATAAACTCACCTGGTCTGAGCAAAACACTGTACTTATAGATGTGGAGGGTGAAGTCCATATTATGTTATATCCCTGCCTTCTCAAGGGAGAACTACAACATTCAATGTAGGAGTATGTCATTTTACACCTGATGAAGCTGAATTTGGATAGTGATATTGAATATTGCACAAATTAGGCAGTTGCCTCTAATCTGCCAAAGCCATGTATGCATTTGTTTTCATTATCATTTTTATTTCATATGCAAATAGGTCAATCTTATCCCCAAATAGGCATGAATAACCATGTCAAAGACTATTGGGGCCCAAATATATTTGATATACCCTCATTTATAAACCTATTTAAGTAGAGGTGAGCTGTCTTCCATCATTTTAAGGAGAAAAGTCACTACACATTTATAGATTCATTTATACACAAATATATGCTGTACTAGAGAGGTTCTGCAACATGAGATATGTTATCTTTTTTGGATGCCTTACTACCACCTTACTATAAAATATAGAGATTTCTAACTCCAAAGGTTTCTGGCTTTCATGGACATGTCTTCCATGGAATTTAGAGGCTACAGAGTCTGGAAGCATGCAGAGAGGCTGGTCTCCTTCACCTGCTCAGGAGAAGTAGGTTGAAGGAGGTCTATTTTACGTGCCCATCTATGGACCATGAGAACTATTTTTTCAGTCATTTCTGTCTACTTTTTGCATTGCTCTGATGGCACTTTGTAACTGATAATGCAGCTGGCTCTACCATCAGGGACATTCCATGTATAAACACACCTTCAGTGAATTTGGGAAGACAAATATAGTGTGGCAACAAAAGAAGCTCAGAGCAAGGCAAATTCTCAAAACAGCATCTGTGTTAATAATTTGCTGAAAAAATATATATAACTAGCATTATTGTCTTGTTTCAGGTATGAAACGTGATAAGAACAAAGTGCACAAATAGCCTATAACAGATGCTGCAGTTAAATATATTTTGTAATATCATAGAAAAGACAAGACAGTACTAATGTGTTAAGACGGAACACATGTTGATTTACAGATCAGAATAAACAAACTAAACTGTGTCAGAAATGGTAGATTAACCAAAGAGTTAAATTATAGTTAAATTTGCAGCCTTGTCAAGCAATTTAATGCTACATTAATGAGTTTTGTTCAGAGACTGTTTTGAATGAATCCTTTTGCATCAGATGTTGCCCATATGCTTTCTCTGTTTGTTTGTCTAAAATAAAACATAATGAAACAGCTAATAAAACCCCAATTTATTTGTTTCCTTCAAAAAATAAGTCCTTAGCATGTAGATGCTGTTTATTTTTTGAATGCATTTTTGCTGTTTTTCAGTATGTGCATTTTCCAGCAATCCGTTATTAACGTTTTCTCCCATCTCTTATTTCTAATTGACTAACTCATCAAATATCCACCAAAAGTCATTCTCCACCCTTGTGCTGTTGTGCAACAACCTTTTACAAGACTTGTGATAAAAGGGAATGGAGTCTAGCAAAGGTCATCATTGCCCTGTACATTTTCTTCCAATCTGGGGTCCAGTCTGTTCTCTTAAAGGATGGAACAGATTGCAGTTCTGTGCACCCAAGGGGTGTGTTCTTGGATAAACTGCTTGTCTGAGACAGTGCTCCCTGTACAAGGCAGTGATATAAATGCCCATATGTTCTGAAGTACTTATATCATGCTTGTATGTGGTTTAAATGGAAAAATATGATACCTAACATGAAAATCTGTAATAATCTATATGATGAAAATGAGAGCATGTTAAGGGTTAATTTGATGCCCTCACCCTATTTCTTCTGATCTTATATGTGTGAGGTTATGAAAGCCGTGGAGAAGAAGAGTCCAATTAACCTGAGGAGTTTTCTGAGATTATGGAATTTTTCTTTTGTGTGAGACTAGATGGTTATAGGTATACAGGTACAACCCCCCTACTACAGATAGTTTGCACTGATGCAGTACAGAGCATGCATTTGTATGGCAAAACCTGAGGAGGGTGCTAGTATGAGCCTTTTCTTATATTGATACAGCTCATCTAGCCTATGGATTTGCACTGACTACATCAATGTAGCTACACTTCATAAAAACCTCCGGTAAAGATAACTCCTATGTTAAACAAAACATTTAACACACAGTTCCTGTACTGCTCACTGTTTTTATAGATGTTGTCTTTATATTCTGAAACTGTCCTTTTTCTAACTGCCTTGTTATATGCAAAAAGTTTTAGATCAGATGTAGATTTTAATGAGCATTCAAGACTTTAATATGCATTTCTCTCTGATGCAGTTTTAAGAAAATTAAGTGTTTTTAATGCTATCAGCACTCCAATTCTGCAATTATTCTATTTTTGTCTAGTATACATTAGGCCTGCTTATGGCAAATGGGACAGTTTCCCCACTTGGCATTGAATTTCACATAGTTTTATGCCATTTTGTTGGAATAGTCTTAGTATGATTCTGTTCCTGGGGGGAAAAAGTTTGGTGTCAGATACTATAAATGAATTCTTCTATATTGCTCTTTCTGTGTGCCTCCTATAAAGTATTTCCCTCCTCCTGAGACCTTCCACCTATGCCTTCAGCTGCTCAACTCTCTTCCAAGCCTCAATACAATGTTTTCCAACAGCTACCTTGTGTCCCTTCCGGTGCACAGATATCTAGTACTGATGCATTATCTTAGCAGCTGCATCATGTTTTATTTTAATTAGTGGGGCAGTTGACCTCCACTAAAGCTGTTAAAATTGCCCTGAATTGGCCATCAGGGATACTGAAGATGACTGCAGTTAGTACCCCCTACCAGCAGGTGCAGAATGCCAAGCATTGGAGCCAGAATACTATATTTTATTTATCCTGTACAGTGGTGGTAAAATATTTAAATGATTACTGAAAATGTTTTTGGTTTGTATTTCCTGAGTACAGAACTTTCCTGATGGTTATATGAGTAAAACGCAGATCCAAATGAAAAATGGAACTATCCCATCAGTTTTCAAGGACAGCACTAAGGAAAGTGATGACCAAACATTGACACATGTTGAGGTAAATACAGCTTTCTGTATTGATTTTCCTTTAAAACTTAAATTTGGAGAAAAACATTTTCTCTATTATTGTTTAGAGAAGGGAACAACAAAACACACTTGGTTCCTAGTTTAATAGCAGGTTGTGAGACTATTCAGGTCTTGAATTATTGGTGGATTTGAACAATTTTCATATACATTTTTATCCTCTCCCTTCTAGTTTATACATGAATTGGGTAGGAAACAGAGAAGCTCTGAGGTTTTATTCAGAGACATAGCTTCATCTTGGAAGGATGGTACTAATTTGTACCATAATCAACCAATATTAAGGAAATATTGACTTAAAAAAACCTAAAACTTAATATCAAGATTTAATTATCTAAGAGATAACTGTTAATCAAGGCAAAATCTGAGGCCATTTACCTTGAGGGACAGTAGATATTGGTATTTATTGAAATAAGTCAGTATATGAATTATGAGTATTTTTTAAATACCTTTTCACAGACTCGAGTCCCACGACTTGAACTTGAGTCCGACTTACGTCGCCTAAGTGACTCGACTTGAGACTCGACTCGGGTTCATTGTTTGTGACTTGAGACTCGACTTGAGACTTGCTAATTTTGTTAAATCGACTTGGTGAAAAAATTGTCCGAAAATGCCAATATTGATGGCTTGTACAGAAGTGACTTGACATTTTTTAAATTAAGACTTGAGTCTAGGCTCGGGACTTGACTCGAAAGTGACTTTAGGGACTCGAGACTCGACTTGAACTGTTGTGACTTGAGATTTGACTTGGACTTGACAATGACAACTTGAGAACAACACTGCCTTTTCAGAGAGAGATGGAAATCACTTCCATTGTGGCATCAGGTTTTTATCTAGTGCTCCTCCCCTGCTCCCCTCCCCAACTGACTTTTAAAAAGGGAAAGTAACGTTGGAGATCCTCATTTTTACTGAGCTTGGAATGGAATTATTTAAATATGTGATTTGATTGTTTAACGTTGCTCCAGGCTTTACTATTATTGACCATTCAGAAGAAATACGATAGAAACTTATTGTCTTATTACATGACTATTTTCAGCCACTCAAAACCAAAGGGTTCAGGTAAATATGTGCCCTCGTGCTTGTAATTAGAGATTTTTATAGCAGTGATGCCTTCTGGCTAACGGTCTCTAACAGTGGATCCTCACCGCTTTCAGAGGAAGGAGTACTAGTCAAAAAGGGTGACAAAGAAACAGGTTCTGACCTCCCCTTCGTGGGAATTTTCCAAAGAGACATTTCCTTACCTAATCAGATATCATTGGTACTGACTGCACAAGACCGTCCACCTCTGAGTTAGTGAGACCATCCAGTGCCAGCCTTGATTACTGTGTGAGCCAAAGACCTTAAGCAAGCTTGCTCAGAAAAAGGCACAAAGGAAAACCTACCATCCGTGCCTCAGTACCATCAGAGCTGCTCAAACACATGTTATTGCGCAGTGTGGCAGTGCTACAGTCTGTGGGGCCACCTTCTGCCTCTACAGCACGTAGTACATCATCCTTAGCACTCGTAAAGAATCCAGTACTTATGACAATACCATTCCTGGTACTAATGCTCTTGGTACTGTAGCAATTTTTCTGACATAAAAAACTTTTCTTCTTCCCAGCACCAGAATTTCCACTTTTCTGTGCTGACCTTACTCCAGCATCCTCAATACCATGCCAATCCTACCCAGATCAGCTCCTCTTTTATCCAATCACAAGGGTAATGATAATAAAGGGGAAAACTACTCCTTGCCTATCCACACAACTGCCAGACCAGGTCCACTAGAACAGTGTTTCTCAAACTGTGCTCCGCAGAGCCCCAGGGGCTCCGTGAGACCTCTCCAGGGGCGCTGCGAGGTTGACAAACTGGAAACATTGATAGGTATAACACATACAATCAGTGGACCGTTGGGGCTCCACATAAATTTTTACACATGTAAAGGGCTCTGGAGCCCAAAAAGTTTGAGAACCGCTGCACTAGAAAAACATGAATACCATCCTGCACCTGAAATTCAAGAATGGTACATACTGCTATACACCTATGGATGCCACAACTAATGCCATTCCACCACAGTGGACTTACTGGTACCAATAGCCAACGGTATCCTAAGCTTCTAGCCCACTCGAGAAGTCAAAGCATGCTTCATCACCTTCTGTCCCTGAACACTCTGACTCTCCTGAGGCTGCAGTCGAGGAATTGGAGGAGGCTTTGGATCAGGAAGTCACCCCATCTGCAAATTGTTTTATCCTTGTCTGTGGATAAAGCTATCCTGTCCCATTCCCCAGGATGGGGGATGACTTTAAACAGTTCCAAGAACTATTTAAGAGGATCACAGGTTCATTGGAGATAGTTGAGTCCCAATGTAAGGTGTTGGACATAGTCCAGACTTCAATCTCTTCCAAAATTGCTCTCCCAATAAAAAGGTTCTCATAGTCCCAAGTCAAAATCATCTGGCATATCTCAGCAACAATTCCACCCACCGCTAAAAGACAGGATAATCTGAAGAAGTGGGCTGTGCCCACAAAAGCTCATAATACCATATACATGTTTTGTTAGTTTATAAAGTGCTACCAGACCATTTGTTGTTTTGTAAGTTTAAAAAATACTATGTCCCTTCCAAGGGGATGAAATTTCTATTTTCGCATCCTACGCCAAACTCTCTCATGATAGAGACCGTGAATGAGCAGTGCAGACAACACGATTGCAGATCCACCTGACGTGAAAGTGACTTGACAAGAGTGGATCTTTTTGGTTGTAAAATTTACTCTTCAGCGACCCTATAGTTCAGGATCACAAACTATAAGCATTAATGGTGAAATACAATTATTCCAGTTATTTTAAAATGTCTAACTCTATGAAGCACGCTACCAAGGACAAAAAGGAATAACTTAAAGTTTTTATATGCAAGGGTCAGCTGCTAGCTTGCACAGCTTGACATTGGATGCCACAGACATGGTGGCATGCTCCTTTGACAAAGCCATAGTAACGTGTCAGGCTTCTTAGCTCCATCTCTTGGGTTTTCCCAGAGAGGTACAATTAATTGTCACTGATGTCCCATTTGAAATAGGGATGTAGCTGGTTAACTGGTAAGCATCACCCTTATCAATTGATGCTTAGCAATAACCAGTTAACTGGTGGCTGTGTTGGGCTGCTCCAGTCTGGGCTAGGCCCACTGCACTGTGTTGTGGTTTGGGAGCTTTCCAGCCTAGCTGGGCTCACTGTGCCATGGGCGTGGAATGGTTCTCCAACCCAGCTTGTCTGGAATAGCTCCCTGCCCATGGTGCGGAGGGCCTGGCCCAGATGGAGTGCCACCTGCCCTCAGTGTAGCAGGCTCAGCCTGTCCTAGTTGGAGCAGCCCCCCATCCATGCCACAAGTGGGGGACTGCACCAGTCTGGTTGGGACCATGGGGTGGGAGGTGCCATTCCAGCTTCACTGGGCCCTCCACATCATGATGTGGGTGGGGAGGGGCAGGCACTCCAGCCAGCTGCCCTCCCTCCCCTGCCTGTGGGATCCTAGTTAAGCGGTTAACCAGGATTTTACATCCCTGATTTGAAGGCTCCAAGGTGTTCTCAGCCAAAACAAATGAATCCCTTCACACATCGAAGGACTCCAGAGTGACTCTGAGATCCTTGGGCATATACATACCTATACAAAAGAAAGAACAGAGGAAGTATTACTTGACACAAAGATCTAGATCCATGCCCTACACCCAAGTTCAGAGGCAACATGACCTGCAAAGGTGGGGACAAAGACCTGCATATGAGAGACTTTCTTGGCCCTTGATGTCTCAGCAGCTTCCCTCTAAACAACAGTTCTGAGGGCTTGGTCAAAGATCAGAGATATCTTTCAGTTCTTCTTCTAGTGCTTGCTCATGTCCATTCTGATTAGTTGTATGCGCGCCGCGTGCACGGATTCCGGAACTTTTTTCCCTTAGCAGTACCCATAGGGCCAGCAGGGAGCCCCCTGGAGTGGCGCCGGTATACCGGTGCATATATACCCTTGCTGGCCCTCCCACCCCTCAGTTCCTCTTACCGCCCGTGACGGTAGCTGGAGCGGTAGAATGACGGTAGAATGATGGTAGCTGGAGGGAGAATGGACATGAGCAACCTCGAAGAACTACAGTTACGAGGTAAGTAACCTCTTCTTTTTCTATTGCTGGACTCATCCAACATCATCCATCCATCTGGAGACCATAGAATCACAGAATAATAGAACCGGAGAGAACCTCTCATATACATAGGCACAGCAGATCCAATACTAGCACAATACAGAGGGAGGGGGTTTTATTCCCATTATTTTCTTATCCAGAAAAGAACTGGAAGATGAAGTACCATTCTTGACTTATGAAGACTCAAGAAATTCATGAAAACCCAAAGATTCAGGGTGCTAGCAACAATAATTCCAGCACTAAAACAAGGGAATGTGGTTCTTAGCCTTCTATCTTCAGAATCAGCGACGAGGAGTCCTGTGGCACCTTATAGACCAACCGAAGTGTAGGAGCATAAGCTTTCGTGGGCAAAGACCCACTTCGTCAGATGCATGTAGTGGAAATTTCCAGAGGCAGGAATAAATATGCAGGCCAGGATCAGGCTGGAGATGACGAGGTGGATCCAATCAAGGAGGATGAGGCCCACTTCTAGCAGCTGATCTGGAGGTGTGAATTCAGCTCCTCGTCGCTTTTGCAGATTCAGACTAACACGGCTACCCCTCTGATATCTTCAGAATGTCTATTTCCACATAACTGTACATCCCTCGCATGGAAGGTTTCTCAGTTGAAACTGGAAATGAACTGTTCCCAGATCAAAAGTACTCCCTTTGGGTATGTCTACATTACAGCACTAATTCGAACTAACTTAATTCGAATTGGTTAATTCGAACTAAGCTAATTTGAATTAGTGCATCTAGACCTAAAAACTAATTCGAATTAGCATTTCGCTAATTCGAAATAGCATGTCCACATTGAGTGGACCCTGAACTGAGGTTAAGAATGGCTGGAA